AAAAAATAAAAGTAATTACAAATTCATAAAAATGAAATTTCTTATTATAATTATATAGCTAATATTTTTTAATTAAAAAAAAATATGATAATTGTTACTTGTGTTGTTAGGTCTAAAAACAAACAAAAAATGAAAAACGTTACATAGAAATGTAAAAACTATGTATATCACTCAAATCCTATGAAAAACATGACTTTAAAGGTTGTTTATCAATACTTCAAAAAATTGAGATAAACTATATAATATATTCGAGGTACAGCTGATATAGTATGTTACTAAATGACTTACAATGTTTGTACTTACTTATTTTAGTTTTTTTTTTTAATATTATACAATATAAACTTTTTGTTTTAAGTGTTTTCGAAATTCCAAGAAAAAAAATTAAGATTCAGCCAACTGAATCAAAAGACAGAATTTATTCATTGTTTATTTGCAGTTCTTGTTTGACGACATCTTATTATTATTTTTATACAAGTTGCGATTCAAGTTATGCTTCGTTGTTGAAATAATTCTGTAATATATTTCAGTTTGCTTCATAATAATTACTAAGTTTCGTCCTACGATGAATATATTTGAATATTTTCATACTTCTCTTGAAAACTGTATTGTCTTTTGTACACTATAAATAATACAATGCGTTTCGAAAGTATGTTCAACTTTAAAGACTTGCACCGTGTGCTTTCACGCACTCATGTAAATTCATGTTTAATGTGTATGTATATTATATAATTTTATTCTTCTTACTCTAGTTGATAATACTACTCTGCACCACATCGTATATTCATAAATTGTAAAAATTCAATATACATGCACAGACAGATCAAATTACTACAAAAGTAGCTGTCTGTCAAGTCAAAACGCATTGGCTTCAATTGAAAAGTACTTTAGTTGAATTCGTATTAATCTTGCTAACGACCAATAAATAAAATAAGACAATAATATTTTGTAACCTACTTAATGTGTACTTAATATCCTAAGTTTCCGTGTACCTATTTCTGATTAACCGTTCTAGTTTTGTCTAGCTTTTTGATCTAAAATAAACCGAAATGGCTTTTACTCGTAGAAAAATTATTTAAACTAAAAATGATCCTTATACAAATTAACCGGTTATTTAATTGACATGGTCGAAATTTAATAAAACCTTTTTTTTCTTTAATATTTCCTATACAAAACTCCTTAAAACAGACCGCATGCCATTCCCGTTAATTAGTTTTTCCAGAATTTCGGACCCGAGTTGGCTAGAAACTTATACCCCATATTGCACCACTCTCGACCGTATCAAATAACAACGAACGACCATAGTAATAATATAGTGCTATATGACCACCGAATGCCCGAGTACTTTATCGGCCTGCGTTCCGCTCGACATCCCAACGCCACTAACAGGTCTGCAAGTGTACCGCAATAATAATAATAATAATAAAGGGGAGAGGATTATGAAGAGAAGGTGAATTTAAAAACCAACCGTATCTATATACATATAGATAGGCATCGGGCGAGAACATAATTTATGCAAACCAACCCGGATCCGTTTATCGCACACGATCCGAAGAAAGAATATTAAAAAAGTATTCGGGGGTAGCTGTTATCTCCATTACATGCCTTGTACCTTGTATTGCCCGACAACTAGTATAGATTCCCCTTCCCCCCTTCGTGTTTTACACAATAATAATATAGTAATAATGTCAACACACGTGGACCCGCGTTTAATCCCTGGCCGGTTGTTGACCGGCTTGTTAATGGGTTGGAACAACACTGATAACAGCCACTAACCATAACAGTCAACATCGTCTGGAAAAATATAATTATACCCCTTAAAATGCGTATAATAACATCAAGCACTGTTTTTCGCATACACATGTACATTTATATAATGGATAAAATTACACGAGAAGTCCATAATATTTCGAATTGTATGTTTGAATTTTAGTATTAAGTTTATTTATAAATATATGTAAATGTAATATTATATGTTATATTTATAAAAACAATTATTTACACGTGATTCTCATCGTATTTATTATGATTTGAATTTAAATATTATTACATCGTTATTCGATTAACTCTTGCTGGTATTGTAAAATAATAAAATAGATGAATTTCAAAAACATTTCCCATACATTATAATTTTCGCCATAGAATAGAGAATTTTTGTTTTATTCTGCCTAAAGTTTTAATAAGAACAACGGACAAAGCTTAATAGAAAGTCTCTTAGGCTTAAAATTGTACTAAAATAACCATATTCAATGGAGGATGGTTATTTGAACAAACATTTTGTTTGAATATTCTTATAGAATATCACCATTTGTTAATTGTTTTAATTATTATAATTAAAAATGTCTGTACTGTTAAACTAACTACTAATTATACACCGTAAAGAATAAATAATGTAATAATAGAACTCTCGACCCCAAATATTTTTCAAGACCTTAATAAAAAAAAAATATATATATACATAACACGACTATTGTTCATAAAACATGTCCAAGAATATTTTTAATGAAATAATAAAGTTTAATAGATACCCCTTACGCTTTGTGTTTTTAAATTATATTTAATAATTAAAATACAATAAATTAGAAAATAATTTAATGAAAACGCATTTATATATAATTTTTCAAAGTTAAAAGACACTAAATATACAACAAATACATCAGATTTTTAATTAAATGAAAAATTTTAATTTAAGAAAATCAATGAATTGCAGAAATAATTTGTAAAAGTGGGACATAATATTTTTTTTGACTATTAATTTTTTTTTTGTAAGTTTAATTATGTTGCCGAACAAAATATAATTGATTTATTTAAAAAAATTCGGTTTAGTCTGGCTTTGTATATTATAATACAACTGTTGATTATTAATTGTGCCATTTGTTTAGTATTATATAAAATTAAAAACTTTACAAATGTTAAAAAAAAATAAAGCCATAATCTGTTTAACCCACTTGACAAGTAGGTATAAAAGTTTATTTATTTTTCTCACCTCTAAAAGCGTTACGTGCAAAATATCATAACTCATTGGGTCGCCATTGACAGTAAATTTTGACGACGCGGTCGGTTGACACGCAAAGGTCAGCACTTAGACATTTTAAAGGTTAAGAACGCCATCGTGACATTTCTGCTTGGGTGGTAAGTGCAGTCATATTATAGTGACATCGGCTCATCGCGTGGCATAGGTTTTCGAAACCGCGCCGTCAAGTGAAAAGTCACGAATCATGAAGAAATTACTCGCAAAAGCCACACGGTTTGGATAGGTGAAAAAAAAAGGCCTTGAAGCTCTTGACCCGTAAACACAAGTATAATAATATACAAAATAAATTGTCGGCGGCGAGGCGTTGAGCATAATGACGATTGTAACCTGAACGTCAATAGGTTAGTCACGAGACGAAGGTCTTGCTTTGCCGCTTTCGAATTGTTGTGTTTATTTCTCGATTACATTTTTTTTAAGTAAACCAAAAGCCATGTAGGCCCGCAACTGGTTTTTTTGTTTTTTGAATAACGGATAACCCCCTCAATGTCGCGGTTCCAAACAATTTTGCGATACCATTGGCAAGTTGGTTGGATATAGTCGAAGCGCTTTTCTGTCATAATGATGGATCATCGGCCATATTTATGAACGATAACAGCCCATAATATTATATAGAGCGTAGGATGATTGATAAGTAGAAATGAATGGGGGGATTCTACTTGTCTCGGTGGATAGGTAATTAGATCAAAAGACAAAATGCACTGGCTGAATTAATATTCAATCCGAATGTGCGGTAAAGGCCGTAGGTATATTATGCCGTGTTATAACGTGCTACGGACTATTTGGTATTGACCTGGAAGATGCATAAATAATGAACATTGAACATGTCAATATTATAGCCCTCGAAATTTGCTTATTACCGTATGGCAGTATGTAAATATGACCACGTTCTTCGCATCTGCCAACAGAGCTGCTGATTTCTGTAGCACATTCTACTCAAATCACGTCACCGGTTAACGCAATTTATTCATAACAATATTAAACTAATCACGGACCATTTTATTATAATCGTCAACGGTAATGAAGACAACAATTTTAAAGCGCGAGCTTTAACGCGTCAAATAAATTAAAAGATACAGCGATAACGATAAAAGACACATGATGTACGGAAAATAATTAATTTTAGGTGTTTAACCGCGAGTGGTATGGTAAAGGAGCTCTGTAAGGGCTTATGCGAGATTATTATTGCAATGGAACCCTCAGAATAATTTCAGGACAAAACACCACTTTGCATATTTTAAATTTCCCGACGACCGTCGGTTATATTAAAACATACCGCGATGTATACACACGCCAAGTATAGATATATTTGTATATAGTATATAGTATATATATATATATACATATATCTATATTTATAAATTCCAACCCTTGTTATTATAATCGTTATTATGACCACATTACGGCTACAGCGCGCACCGATCAACGACTGCTGTTTGCTGTAAAAAGCACAAAAATAAAAGACAATATGCCGGAAGGAGATGCATCTTAAAATGCGTTTTACTTCTCCTTCTTGTTATTTATAATCCTTTATAAATAACGTCATTGGGTAATAAAGTTCATCTAATGTATGTTTTGTGTGCACGATTTTGTCGACAATAGTTTGAAATGATTTCGACTGCTGACTGTTGTTTAAACTTTGTCCTTGTAGTTCAACGTCTAGTTTCCATTTTTTACCGACTAATTTCATTCCAGAAACAGGCCTGTCTACTGCCGCTTAATAAGCAACTCAAAAGGCTTCTTTGTCCTATACCTGTTGTATAATTAAACGTTTTCTGAATTCTAATTATTCTTATTATACATATTATTAATAGAACCTCGCAATTGTACGGTTTGATATCTAGGCTATGAAGAAAACTTGTTTTTCAGTAAATTATAATAATAATAATAATAATAATAATAATAATAATACATTCTAATATCATAATATTTATTTCATTATAGCAATAATGTTGTTAATTATTTTTTACAGGTTGTCTGTCATCAATGGATCTGCAAAGGCTTTATGTTTTTGCAGTGCTCGCCTTATTGGGCGGAACACATTGCATTACCATCGAAGAACTGCCACCAGGTAAATATTTTGATTTTATTAAAAATATTCTAGTTAGCAGAAAAAAAAAACCATAGCACTACAAACAACAAAATTGAAGGTACTAACGCTATCCGATTTCCCGGTTTAAGCTTATGTAATATTATGGTAATTTACCGACTCCGACCAACAGCTTGTCATTAAAAGTTTATTTCCACACAAATGGTGCGTAAAATAAGTATAATATTAAAACGTCATTGCCGACAATGTATCGGGCAAACTGTAAAAATAAATTCAAGTTTCCGGCGAAATATTTTACAAATACAACTTATTCTAAAATGTCTGTTCATAATTTTCGTATTACTTTCGACTTTTGTTCTTGGGTACAAAAAAAAAATAAATAAAAAAGTTAGCTATACCTAGTAGTTTATATTAACATTTTGGTCTGAGATCATTTCCGACGGAATAAAGTCGTTTATTTAAATTCGAGTTTAATACTGTTGGAAACTTAAGAAGGTTCTTTTTATTTTTTTCGAAGTCGAAACAATATATATATATATATATATTTCTTTGATGGCAATCAAATTGTCTTTTGATCTACTACGCTCAGGTACGTTAATACACTGTAAAATGGCTAGGTACTAAATACACAGACTGACTATCATTATTTTAGATTACAACATTTGACACAGCAGTGTAGTTTTATAAGATTACACTAGTTATTGTGAGTAAGAGTTGGTACGTTGAATGATTTTGAGGAATTTGGGAAATTTCAAAAATGCTTCCTTTGTAGTCAAACGTAAGCAACACTATATACGAAATGACCTATAGCTAGGATTACAAAAATTTGATTATTTCATTATGCGAAAAATCTGCCACGGAGTTTCTAAGTAAATTTTGACGGACAAGACGCTAGGGTTGTACGACATACTTATATAGATGATGTAAGTACTATTTTGAAAACACTATACGTACCTTGCCACTGAGTAATCGGATGAACGGCAAAGGGGCATGCAATTTTCGCTGAAAGAGGGGTGACGTTTTCTTTGTTCAGCAAATCGATCGGAGACGAAGGCGTCTAAAACTCTTGAGGGTAAAACTAACATCTCCCTTGTTCATATGCAAAGCAACCAAAAACTTGGGTATATGCTTTACGCTTCAGATGCGAGGTAGTTACAATCAGCTGGCATCACAGTATATAACTTCTTTGACGGGTGGCCGTGATAGACTTAGATGTGTTACGATTGTTCGATGAGATTGCATTTTACCACAGACGCTAATTTGTAAATGTATTGAAATTATTTGACAAAAGCCTCTTGATAGCCAATATTGTTGTGTACTGTGTGTATGACTGCAATCGGGAAGATCAGTTTTTGTTTTATAATATTCAATACAAACATAAAAATATAAGGGTCTTAGCTATTAAGCATTTTTAATACTTTTATTTCAGTTTTTGAGTAACAGCTAAAATACCAGTAGTATCAAGTGTCCGTGAGTAGTGTGTCTTATAGTGTTAATGATTTACTAAATAAAAAAGGTATTTACAACTTACTATTACTAGGAAATTTCACAATCATTACAGTTCAATTGACTTGATGTAACGACGTCAAAGGTGAAGTAGTACACCTTTTCATCGTTATTTTTACTCAACAAATATTAACATACAACTTTGAAAACTACATTATAATAATATGTGGCTTGATTTCAGAGAAATAAACCATTTTTTTCTTAAATTCGCTCGGGTACCGTTTGAGTAGAATTAGGTCGGAAGCAGGGCATTTTCCCCATGCAATCGTGCACGTGGGACATCTGTGGCCAAAGTTGCTATCATAATATAGTCACTATATTATAGCGAGCAAGACGATAAATTCGTGCAAGAAAGTCACGTGTCTTTGGGCAATAGAGAGGGACAACGTGTATAGGAATGAATAGAGGAGGAATCAGATGCGAGGGCGAAGCGTTATGCCGTATAAAAAGCTTTGGCATTGTTTTGCCATGATACTTAGAAAAGGTTATCGTGTGATCTGACTGGCAATTTGAATAATGCGTGCTCGCCACCTTGTATGAGCCGTTGCGCTGTGTGTGCAGTGTAATGTCTATTTCTATACATATATATATATATATATATGTATGTATGTGGCCACACGGATAGAGCAGTTTTGAATAAATTGTTGTGCACAACTTTATACACACGCGTATACTATATTTTACGATTACATCTTGAGTAGCACTTCCCTTCCCCCACTCCCCGTTTGGTTTTTTCGTTCCCACATAAGAAATACGAAATGGTTTGTAAACGTACATATTGTACACGTTTATGTGTACTTTTAAAAGTCCCATAAAAATTGGCGGGTCCGAACCTAACAGTCGCATTGCGATTTTTTCCTCTTCCTCTCTTTGTATACCGTGTACTCAATGACTTTTGGCTTCTTAAATATCATATCGGTCGGTCCGAATATACGTGAGTGAAATGATACGACCTATGCAAATTGTACAAGCATCGCAATTTTACTCGGTATAATTCCACAAAAGCGATTCATTTTTTGCGCACACGTAGTTCAAACGCTTTTTACCGTAATATACAAGACATGAAACGTCCATTAAATGTCTAAAGAACTCAAATGGGCAAGTCCCACTCGAAATCGTGAGGAAATTATTTGACGTTCGAATTAGGTTCAGGATTTTATTGAGTGGTAAAATATATGCGACACTTTTATTATAGCAAATAGAAAATACATATATGTAAGAATCTACGAGGTGTTGTTCTTGTAACACGTGTCTTTTAAAGAAAAAATGTACGGGCACTCGGGCTTTAAAGAAATGTTTTCTGTAGAGTATGGATGAAATAATTATCTGATCATAATCCGTACTTAATCTATTAGAGTAGGTACATCATATTTTTGTTACAGCCTTTTTTTTTGTTTTAACGAATTCGGTATTTCTTAAGTTTCCGTATTATTAAAATTTTTAATGGAGTGATAAAGTAAAATAAATGTACCTTACGTGTTAACAACAGCTGTATTATGTAGTAACAAGAACTAAAACGCATTTATTTTATACTTAAAAAAACCTCAAATGTTTAATGTTAAAACTTATATCATTTTTTTGTTATTTAGTTGTTTAGTATAAACTGAAAAAATATAATAACAATAAACAGGACATCTCGCTCAACTTTAGAGAAATTGAAAGACAAACAAATCGTATTCAGAACTAGTTATCCTAATTAAGATAAAATATTTATCATATTACTTACATGATAATAACTATAACTAATACGGTTACCACAGTTATGTTAATAAAAATCACACTTTTAGTACGATGCGACGTTTCCAGTACTATTTAGAACGATAATTTATTTATTTGGGGTTTTATCTACGTTGTTTAGTCGACATCACCGTGATTTTGTAGGTATAGATATTTAAGGAAATACAATTATTTTCTGCCATCTATAAATGGCATGCCAAAGGTGCACATTTCTCTTCGGGTGTATTTTTGTTTGACATTTCACTATTGTCTTTCCGTTCACCGGCGGCTGTCTTCTTACCATTTTTACTGCCAAACGGTCATCGAGTTGTCGTCCAAGGAACCCAAAAAATGTTTACGACGCCCCTAGGGTTTTAATGCCCGTCCCGGTCTGCTTAGTATTCCAGACCGATTGGGTTTATGTTCAAAACCAACCGCTCGCATCACTACCCTCGAGCATTGCTTCCGTCTGTCTTGCTCCATCAACCGGAAAGGGTAAAAATATATAAATGTATAAACCCTTGGCCTGCACTTTGTCCGCTGACGATCACTCGGCAACGTGTGTACGATTCGAATGTCGATCACGATGCGACGCATCTCTCATTTCGAAGTTAACGTGCCCAAAGTAAGTATGTACACACAGATAGAAGACAATAATACTATATATGGACGTTACCCGGAAACGCGTGTTTGCCTTTGGACGGCGCCACGTTAAACGTCATCGGGGCGACGGGCTCGAGTACGTCTGCCGCGATTGTTTGCGTTCGTGAAACGATTCCAAAATCCGTTTAAAACTAATATAAACGACGCCGGATGACCCTCGTGAGAACTCTTCGTTCAGCTGCACCACAGGGTGTGCAATTAAAACGTCATCCGACATTGTCAAAGGTACGCGGGGCACGTCACACGCAAGTCCTGTGGTGCAGTTCAATATCAAAGTCAAAATAAATACCGACTTCAAACCCCTTGGCGTATGCCATGTCGCTTTAGCGTTCTAGGGATTTTTTTTTTTTTTGAATAATTCAATTCCGTTACTCCTCGACCGGGGAGACGGTCAGCGAGACAGCTATGAGACACTTGCACAGTGCGTGGGATGTGAAGACTTTTCGAGCTGACGTTTAGGCATTCTGGATTGATATCCCCTAGCGGTTTCAAAAGAAAATATTTAAGGGATACCCCGAGCACAATGAGAACAGCTATAATACAGGTCGCCCGTTACTGGATTTCCTTGAACAAATAAGACGCGGCCGTAGTCCTTTTGGAATGTTTTTGCATGTCTCCCTCTCAAACAAATCATGAAGCCGTCTCGGCCATTTTCAAGGTAAATACGTGTCGAGCCCCTTGTTCGACGCGGCGCCGGTACGTGCCCGGGGAACTTGATGAACGGCGGTGCGGTGGCAAACGATGGCGATATAGAGGCCTCCAGCCCTACCAAAGGCCTAGTAATAAACGCCTTTGTAATTTTAAACTACATATAAAGTTTATACAACAGTCCTTGGCATCGAAATGATTTATCGTAGAGCTATTATTTGTATCTGTCTAAGAGCCGCACGAGACCTGGGTCGAAACGAGTGGTTATCATTTTTATGGGTGGAATTCGTCCACCATCACAATATGAATTTTGTACACCAGTATCGCATAACAGTTTCTTATGATAATATAATATAATTATTGATCCCCGTGACCGTTGAAATCCAACATACAAGCTGCCGGCGTTTAATCTTTTATCTTTGTATATTTTTCCTTTTATCCCTTTCTTGGAGTAATACGGGTTTCTCGTTTTACTTTTGCGCTGGGGC